CTCCAGGGCCCACAGCTCATCTAAAGCTGTTTCCACACTTCTGCCCTGGGAAGGAAGGGCTGAATTGTCCCTGAACGCTCCCTGCTGATCCAGCTCTTTAGGTACCTGCCCCTTCCCTTGACCATTTAAAGCGTTTGAAATTGGTACACTTGAGGTTTTGGGATCAGTTCTCTGCTCCTTCTTCTCAGTCTCTTTTGCCAAATCATACTCTAGGCCTTGTGCCTCCACATTAGCAGATCTACACAGAAGCTCTCCGCTGGAAGCCGCCGCACCCTGGGAAGCGTTTCTAGAAGAGCCAGGCTTTCTGCTCAGCCGACCCAAGCTTGCAGAGGTCATCTGCTGCCCACGAGCAGCGTAACCAGAAGAGACCCGTGGTGGGGGCACAGGGACCGTTTGTGGCAAACAGGGCATGCGTGGAGGAGTGGCAGAATGCCCTGAAGTAGGCAGAACTACAGTGTTACTGCCTTCCTCAACGCAGAGGACTGCTGAGGGGGCAGATGCTGGCACTGTCGAGTCCCCACTGTGACTTGCGGAAGGGTGTTTGGAATGGGATAGCACCATTAAACTGTGAGGAGCGTTGCTGGAGTCTGCATTTGCTGAACTGGGAACCGGTTCTAGGGAGGGTTCAGAAATCAAAGACATAGTGGAACTAGTCTGCAAAAAGGAGACAGAAGGAATAAGGAGAGAAAAAGATAAAGACAGAGGTAAGGAGAAGGAAAAAAGCAAAGAATTAAGCATTACAGCAATCATGACCTCCAAATCAGAGAGCCGTGTTGATCCAAAGCCTTACTTCCAAGAGTACGGAAGGAAAACGGGATATCAAAGAGCAGAACCAGTATGACATTGTGCTGATCTTCACATGAGGTTATGGGGGATGAAGTTCTACTGCCATTGAGATCCTCTTCCTATGCCCTCTAAGTGATAGCTCATGTGTTCACCTGCAGCTGCGACGGGGGCACGCAGCGGCCACTGGGAAGTCAGCTACAAACCCAGGAATGTCTAGACTGTGAGTAAAGATCACGTTAACAACTTACTCGTAGTCAGACGTGTAAATTTTACACTTCAAAGCTGAAAAAAAGCAATCAATGAGCAGAACAAAGCATGACATTTTCTTCTTGATACACTAATAAAATGCTCCTGTTGGCTGAGTTCATGGCAATGAAAACAAAGCTTCAGGGCATTCACAGCAAGAACAGATGACAGGGGCTTTGTTCTGTTCACATCACTAATCTCACCTTGGACGTGACACATACTGACTCTGTACCAGTCTGTCAGTCACGCCATGCCCTTGTAAGCATTGCTTAGGTGGCTAATTAGCCTCTTCCCCTTAGGCCAAAGGCTCCACATTGTAATAAAATCAGTATTAATTTTGATCCAAAATACACTGTAACAAGAGCAACTGATACAGAGTTTTTGGTTCTCCTTGACTGACAGGGTCTTTTGAAAACAAAAGATCATGGGTCCTCCTTTCTCCATTTTCAGTGGTTCCCGGCTAAACTCTAGGAGACAAACGCATTACTCCCTTTTCTAAAAAGGGAAAATCAGAACAGTGGCTTGGACAAGTTCACACAGCAGGTCAACCTAAGACCAAAGCTGAGCCCTCTCTGTTTTAAAAACATATCCACAAAGGATTTCCAAATCCAAGAGCTGTCAAGACCTGCTCTGGTTCTTAGTCACATTTTCCAAAGAAACCTCAAGAAGTTAAATGCTTATGCTCTAAGGTAGCGGGGCACATAACTTCCCAAGCCCATGTATGGTAGGTATCTCAGTGTCTACTTACCTTTCTGAGATACTTATCATGAATAAAAGGATAAAATTAAACAGAACACGCACAAAATCTGCCAGTAGATGGAAGAAATTTATACCTTCAGCTGACCTAAGCTGCTACCATCCCGAGGGGTCAGGAGCTGGCGTGCACACACACGTTTGTGAAGGCACAACAGCAGCGCTACAGGGAGACCGTGCTCGGAAAGAGCAACAGGGCACCACAAGTCATTACAGACTGCTCCTCCCCTCGAGCAGCACAGCAAGACCCACAGTCACAGCAGAGACAAAAAGGACTAATAAGTATGTTCAGCAGTTAAAATGTATTTTGCCTAAGCTGGCGAGCGACCTAACCACTCATCCGCGACAATGCACCTGTAAAAGTAACCTGGCTTTATACCGTGGTTCACAGTTTCCAGACTTCCTAAAATGAAGTCAGTCATTTTCAAGGCAAGACTAACATTTCACTCAAAAGCAAGTATTTCCAGAATATTAAAAACACACCTGCTCCAAAACAAGAGCATGGTTAAACACTCAACAGTAATAGAACAGTTAAATACAAGCAGCTAGCTATGCAGTAAGCAGGCATCATATTACACAGAAATGGCAGAGATTGAAAGAACAAGTGCATTAAGTAATCTCAGGGCCCGCTAACTGATGAGCTAGATAACCAAAATCAAATGGATTCTGTAAGCAAAAAGAACGAGCAACTCATTAAAGCGAGCAAAAGATGATAAAAGAGTAATGTATCGGTCTGTAAGAACACCTTTTACTCTGGGGTACGAAGGAAATTAAACATCAGTGCCTCCACTCCTCCCATCCCCATCTACTGCAACTTCTAGCTGTACCAACTACCAACTCCAACTAATTACACATCGCACTTAGCTTTTCTGTCCTATTTTTTGCAGCCACACGCAGGTCTGGTATTCGAACGGTAGCTTTTAGTCTTTCACCTCTGCAAAGACTCCACTCCTCTCCCTTACATCCTGCCACTGGGACAGACTAGAAATACATTTTTACAGACAAGCTAACACCAGTAGTTGGCACCAATAGAGGAGGTAAAAGCAAACAAAAAGGACTGAAGGGAAAACGAAGCAACCTGGAGGACAGGAAAAAGGAAAGTAACCATTAAAAACAGTCAGGAAAGCGATCGCAGAAACCATGGTCTTCGTGCTTCAGGGAGAACATTCAGACACAGATGAGCTCGATGCCTCGCAAAAATACTAATGCTGTGTTTATAAAGCCCAAATCTTAAAATCTTGCTACATTTCAGTTTGCTCTCAGAGCTCAACCAGAAACTAAGCCAGGAAGGCAGGTAGTATTCCAGAGAGCAGCTAGTCTCTGTCATGCAGGTTTTATTGGAGCTGCACAAAGATTCTAAGGCCTTTCCTCAAGACTGCAAAGCATTTGAGCACCCACACTTAAAAACGTCCCCTCCTTGTATCTTGCAAGGAAAACCTGTGCTGGGCGAGGGCATTCTCAGTTGCCAAGAGCTCACCTAGGAGCAAAGGCTGGTGGCAGCAACCACACCCCGGGCTTGTTTTCTGAGCCCTGATAACAGCAGCAAGGGCAGGAGGCCGTAGCGCTCAAGCTCCCCCAGCACACGGAAGGAGCGAGGCAGGGTATGCCAGCAGCGCAGGGGGGAGCTCTCTCCAGCTTCACAACGGTGCCGTTTTTCAACTAGACTGAACAGACACCTGTGGGTATCCTGCACTCTACCCTAGGACCTAATATGGAGAAAAAAGGCAACACTAAGGTGTCAATATTTGCCATTGACTAAATACACACTACAGTAAGTCTAGAGAAAACAGTGAGTAACTCCTAGATTCTCACAAAATGAAGTACCTGTGCCAGGAATGGCAGACTGAATTCAATTCCAGCAAGTGCCAGGCAAGCGAAGTCCCGCAGAGCATGCATGCTCACTGCTGGGTTCTGCGCTTGGTCCAAACTCCGGGTGTTGTAACGACCTCCATGAAACCCGCAACAGACATCAAAAGCACTCACGTGAATGGTGGCACAGAGAGAACAGCAGCAAAGCCCTCACTGAACGCCCTGTCTACCTCTCCTCACAAAACGTTCATCAGCTCTGCCTGCCCCACCTGAAGTCATGGGAGGAGGAGATGGAGTTCAGCACAGACAAGGAACACCAAGCATCAGCAGAATCTTCCGTATGAGGAAAAACCAGAGAGTTAGGGACTTCCTTAGGATTAGAAAGCAGGCTTGCATGTGTATGTAAGAAAGGCAAACTCAACAATGACCACAAAGAGAATATGTTAGATATTTGCTTTCTCCACCTCTCTCAGAACAAATTCAAGTGAGTAATTCAGAAAGCCTATAAGCAAACCAGCTGAAAGTACAAAGCAAGAAGTGAAAATATTTTTCATTTTGCTATGATTATGGGTAAATGAAAGTCTCATGAAAATAAGCTCCAAAGTTATTCATCTAGCGCAAGAATGGTAACATACCTATATGAATAAAGAGCAAGTTATCCAAGTACATATGCCAAGTGCTTCACGTATCAAGACGACCGTGGGCAAGTTACTCCTGAGCTTATCCTATTATGGGATTTTTATGTGTTACTTATGACTGAAGTAGCAGGTTCTTTTCCGATACAGTAGTTTGATTTCCAAACAAGATTCTGAACAGTATTTTCCATCCTCTGCCCCCACAAGAAGCTCAGACTTTAATCCCATTTTGAGGTGAATAAGAGAGATTGTTTTAAGATGGAAACCATTGAAGTCTCCAGCTGTCTGATGTGAAGGCTTCGGTTCTCATACCGCATGCCTGGAAGAACCTCCACAGGGAAAGCACATCAGGGTAAAAATACACTCCAAGGAGGAGGGTCATCCCACAGAACAGAAGAGCCTGGTCTCTGTCAGAAGGCAGACTGGAGTCCCATGCTCCCCTACTTCTTGTTAAGTTGCAAATAATTCACCCTGTACTGAGGAGTAACTAAGCTCATTATCTTTGGCATACAGACAAACTGCAGAACCAAAGGAAAAACAGACCCCAGAACTGCCTTACCCTGCCAGTGACGAGCATTTACAGCAGTCGAGAACACCTACAGTAGCGCTCAGAAAGCGCAAATACCACCACAGGAAGTTTTTCAGAGCAAGTTTGAGAGGTAAAGAGGGCATTCTGGAGATCAATCAAGGTCAGCAGATGTGACTAACAGGCAAGAGAGTCTAGGAGTGGGGAGGGACAAGATGAAGTATTAAGTTGTGATGATAGGGCACCTTAAAGTCGGAGAGAGACGCCATCAGCTCATCCAGTTCTCGTGTAGCTGAAGAAGCAGATATACGGGTCTGCTGCTGACTGGCGGTGACCCGCTGGGGGCTGCTCACCTCACCTTGGCTCACAGTGATTGCAGGCCTGACAAGAAAAAGAAAAAAGGAAAAATAAAAGCGCGTTTAAGCCTGGGAGAGCACTCCTAGGCTGAAAGTCCCACCGCCCCTCTGAACAAGCACAGCACAGCAAGTTTCACCAGCCCTCCCCCAGACCCAGCTTCCACAACACACGCAGACCCTGTCTTTCTGCCAAGTCTAACGCGAGTGTACACACACACGTGCCATCCATTAAGGAACGGATGATGACCAAACATTCATTTTGTCAGGCAGCGGGTATTTGCGATCAGCTTTACATCTGAGTTTGAACAATCCACCTCTTGTAACGTGACTTATGTATTTTTCATCCAGGAGTAGATAAAAGCACCAGCATCTTCATGCGCCTGCTTGATTTCTGACCCTTCAGAGAAATCCCATCTTCTGCCTGTCACTCTCCTGCAGCATCTGCCCCTACACCACAGTCACTATTCCCACAAGAGCCTGTCACACCCCACAAGAGCCAGCAACCACCAAAACACTACTCACACTGGACTTGGCACTGAACTCTCCAGCTCATCCAGCAGGCTCTCCACACTGGGACGCACATCTTCGATCCCACGTGCACCATTTCGCTTTGGCTTTTCTTTTGTAGGGGGTGCAGCCTTCCCTCCCATGGAGCTGCTGCTCTCTGGGATGACATAGTGAGGTCCAGTCACACTGGGCAGTGATGGGCTTCTGCCGGCTTCATCTTAAGAAAGGGAAGCAGAAGAGAGTCATTCAGACCCCTAGGTCCATACATACGTGCTAATCACAGGCAAGAGCAACAAATTGCCCAGAAATCTTGTGGAACATCCATCTTTGAGGATATTCAGAACTTAAAGTGCAAGGGCCTGAGCAACCTAATCTAACTTTGAAACTCCAGTTAGAGCCAATTTTGAAGTTGGCCCTGCTTTGAGCAGGGCGCTGCACCACAGACCTCAAGAGATCCCATCCATACTAAACGGATCTTTGATCAGGAGCTGGAGGGCTCTCCCTCAATAAGGATGTTGGAAGGAACAAGTAGGCTACTGTTTTGAGAATCAAACTATCCACTCATGCCAAATGTCGTGCTATTCCTTACCTCCTGGGAAGCCACTGGCGGGATTATGTTGAACAGCATTCAGTTCCAGAAGAAGTCTGTCCAGTTCTGAGAGGTTGCTGCCCAGAGAGGAGCTGGTCATTGTGGGAGATGGTTCTGCAGACTTCTGCTTGTTCGGGAAACTAAAGATAAAAGGGAAGTGTGAAACTTCTGCATCAAGATACAGCAGAAGGAGGGAGGGAAACGTATGTTAGTACACATGTACCGTATTCTTTTCAAGCCGACGCTTTTAGCTCTGGGGGAAAGAAGATGTGTGCTTTGTGAAATGACTACAACGCAGGCGCTGCTTAGCCACATCTTCACTTGTCACTTACAAAGAAATGGCATTGACGGACAGGGCCTCAGGTTTTAGGACTGTGTGCTGTACAGCCCTGTAGCAAAAAGAGTTAACCGTCTGCAGATCCAAGACGCACAGAACAGCAGCAGAACCATTAGCTGGCATACAGGAAAATTACTTGTTTCTGCTGACATCACCCCAGGCAGCAAAAACCTCCCCCCTGACGCAAGGGAATGCAGGGCCAGCACAGGCTGGAGAAAGAGACAAAGTACAAACCTCAAGCTATTGACAAAAAGTCAAAAGCAGCAGGTTATGTGGTAGCCTCTTGCAGCACTCAAGGTCTCTTCTCAAGTCCTCAAACTTTTAATTTGGGAACTCTAACTAGTTTATAAGACATTTGAAACTATTTTCTATTGTGTTAAATACACAAGCCTTGAAAGAAGTTTACCTGTGCACAAGCGTGTATAAAACACGGGCTATAATTATTCCTTATCCATACAGATGATCCCATTTACCACACACAGCTGCAAACTGTTTCAAAGCAAAACGTAGCACCAATGCAGTGATTTTTACAGTAATTACACTGTAGTAACAGTCTTCCCATCATCAATGGCAGGGAAATTATTTTCTCCTAGTTTTACAAATGGAGAAATAACTTCTAATGCTCTAGAGGGTCTTATTTTATCAAAAAGATACTTTCCAAATCCAAAATGGGAGCTTCTGCCTTGTGCACACTACCATATTATGCTCAGAAAGTTAATATGTAACAGGCTTTAGGACTCTGACACCTATAACACCAGCAACAATTATGAAATTCCATAAGGGCAGTTATTATCTTTCTCTTCAGACTGGGGAAAAAAAAAAAAATCCACATATGCAATCTGAGGAGGGCATACTTCTTCCCGACCCAAGCACACAAGCCACAATTCACACCAGAACCAAGCCATGCCAGACCCTTGTACAGGAGGACTTATGGCTGTAATTATCTCCATTTTGTACTAATTGCATGCAGCCATCTGAAAAAATTGCAATTACTGCCTCCATTGGACCATTTCTGGATATGTCTGCCTCTACCCAGAATTAGTTCTGGTTGAAAGCGACTTCCTGCTCAGCAGAAAGAGCTTGGCACGGTTAGACCACGACACCAGAGAAACACCAGTCTCCACACTGTAAGGCGGCACCAGGACAGAATGCACTGTGCAGGGCCATCAGAGATGAAGTTCTGACAGCCTCTTCCTCACTCATCCCCCTGTCAGCAGAACGGTCTATCCTACCGTGCAGGCTACTCCTCCAGCCTCTCCGTGTATGAGCAGCTGCCTTTGCGAGTACAAACTAGTTATCTATCTACCATCTACTGAGATGAAAGTTTTAAGTTCTAATTTACTTGAAAATTCAAGTCAATGCACACCCTGCTAGGCCACAGGTTCCCTGGGATAACTGACCCAAAGGCCACCCACCTCGTAAAGAACTTCTGGGCTGCTTAACAGAGGGACGGATTTGCCACTTGTCTCTGGATCGTATCCTTCATAACACAACCCAGATCCTGTTCTATCTGATGGATCCTTAACCTCTTCTGCAGCTGAGCAAACCAAAGGGCCAGGTCAACGTTTGAAGTGAGTATGAAAGTTTCAGTGGCCTCTTACAAAAGAAGTAATCGAAACCAACACAAGGCAACATAACATACACAGGGGCAGTGTTTGTTCCCACTTAGAGAAGGCAGCTTGAGCCACAGCAGGCTCAAGTTGTGAGTCAGGCTTCTCTCTTAACAGAGGCAAGATACCTGTAGACGTGTTCCTCTTCGCTGGCACGAGGAGAAGGAGAGCTGAGCCCGTCTCTAGGAACAGAGGCACTGGAGCTTTTGGCACTAGAGCTGTATATAGGAGACTGGGACTGAGGCTGTGGAAATGAGATTTGCATTGGAAACATGCAATACAAAACGAGTATGTACACTACTGCATTGCAACCCCACACACGTATAGGACAGAACAAAGCCCAGCAGAAGGATAAAAAAAATCTGCTATATAGCCAGCCAGCCTCTATCAGATGAGCTACACCAGGAACAACTGTCCTCCACTTGCTTCAGATTTGCCTATGAGTCGCAGATCTGTGCTGGAAACCCAGCCTGCTTTCCACAGGCTACAAGACAGATGACTAACACTAATCTCATCACACTACCATTTTGTCGGAACAATGACGATGGGTTTCAAATTCTTTTCAGCCATTTGTTCCAACCGTTTAGTTCTATTAAAAGCCCACACCTCCCCCCATTTCCCCACTCTGTTCATAGCCAAACTCATCCTCGCTTCTTGCTGTTCCATCCCCTCAGCTACTTCCTTGAGAGATGCTGCGCCAACAAAACAAGCACGTACCCTCCCCATCCACACACACTCACTTACTTGCTGGTGGACGTATCTGGATACGTTGGGTTGCCACTGATCTAAGGGGTCAATCACAGTGCCATTCAGGGCCTCGTTGGAGGGTGGCGGGGGCACTGGCGGCGGCACGCCAATCTCTTGGTACGTGTGGTTTCCAGTTGGATAGGAGTAAGGTGTTTCCTCTGTTAGAAACACTGGTCGTTTGGAGATATGCGAGGTGGTGGATTCCAGGTCTGCCAATAAGGCGTCTGCAGGAAAAAAAAGAGGGGGGAAAAAAAAAAAAGTGAAATCCTGGACTACAGCTTTTTCTCTTTCATCTCATTCAGGATATCCGTATCAGAAGGTCTTTGGGAAGACTTTTCATCTAAGCTGATCTACTAAATACCCTGAAAAACATTACTGCAGCCCAGGACTGAATGGGTTAATCAAACTTGTAGTACAAAGAAAATGCCAAGAGGTAACAAAGCAGCCAGAAAAACTGTGTCAGTCTCAGATTTTTTTTGTCTTAAGTGGAAAACCACCCAACAACAGGGACCCGTAGTCTCACTGCAGCCTGCAGAAGAACAACCTAGGAGGAACCTGCCCAGAGATCGACTCGCAACAGGATACTGACACAGACTAATTACAGGCCCCACATCATCACGCAGTCATTTACTGTGGCCGCAGGCACTGCTTTCTGCAGGAAACGATCTCGGGAGGGGTTTTCTCCAGAGTCTAAGGTAGTGGAAGAAGCATGAAACTTTCAAATTAGTCCATCGGTGCAGCAGGAGTACGCGTTTCAGTTTCCCTAACAAAAATCCCTCTCAGTACATCACAGAAACAGTTAACTAGTTTCCAGAGGCTGCCAGGTAAACGCCATTTCTTCTCCTGGAAACAATTCTCAACTTGCTGGGTGGAGACTGCTCACAAATTCCTGAAGAGAAGAAAAACTTCCACCAGCTAGAAACACCGGCACTCATGCCAGGCAGAGGAACCCACGTCACACTGTTAGCACCTCTCCGAAATCTTAAAGCAGGAAAAACGCTCTCCCTGAGATGGGGCATGAAAAGGCACTCCCACCTCTCCAGATTTCTCCCTGCAAACTATCCTCTGCCCGTTCCCAACCCTGCACTCCTCTGCGGTGACTCACAGGCGAATTCTCGACTTGTTGGACCTTCTGTCCCGTGAACCCACCCTGCGGAGCCCGCTGCAGTCCCTGGTGGGGAAAACTCCAGCGAGCGACTGCAGGTCTGCACTGTACTCACTTTCTAAAGAAAGCCTCGCTGGCCAGGCGCCCAGCTTTCCACTGGGGCAGCAAGCTGTAGTGCACACATCTTTAAGGCTATTAGAGAGGAGCTGGTTCGCCAGGGACATCAGTGCTTTCCATTATAAGAGCATCAGGACATACCTGGCAGGTCCCTTTGGAGATGTGGGATTCAGCCAAACAACAGTAACGCAACTTCAGCAGAATTAGGCGAGGAGGCTCTCAGAAACCCCCTGGATCTCCCTCCCCTTGGCGCAGACCCAACTGTCTTCAGGCAGTCTCAGTTAGCAGGATTTGTCCTTCTCCTCCTGCACAGGGCAGGTACTCGGTACTCAGGCCTGGGGCGCGAGGGCTCAGCCTGAGCGTAGCCATCCCGCAGTATCCTCCACCAGGGTCACAAGGAGCTGAAGTTATCAGGTGGCACCAGAATAGCAACCCAGCAACCGCTCGCCCTAATGGCTGCCTACTGGCTCTAAGAGGGCAGGCACCTGCCAGCTCAAAGCCACTTCCCGAGCAGAGCAGACCACATCAGCCAAAGCATTTAGCAACCCCTCAAGAAAATATATTTAAGGGTCAAATGGAGGACAGGGTTATTGCATTACAAGACGAGGAAGGTGCTGCTTTTATACTCCCTCTCTTTCACAAACCAAAGCATCATGAAAGAAAAAAAAAGGCGGTCCTGCCCTCAGAGAACAGAATATAGCCATTAGCAAATTAAATACTGTGTTACATTAACCCTATACACCTTTCATTTAGTAAAAAGATGCTCCAAATCATTTGAGCCACGGGCATCTTCCTAGAGGGGCCAAAATACCCCAGAAGCAGATTCTCCTAAGGGATACAAGCGTTCTGTAGCTGGGGAAAAATGAACTTCATCTTCTTTTTAAGCAAAAGAACAGCTGGTGGATTCCAGAGCGCAAGGCACGTACCTCAAGGGAACTGCTGAAGAGCTGCAATTCCTTCAACCAGGCAGGTCCTGTGACTGGAGGTTTCGTGCACACAACCTCCAAGAGAAGTGCTGTCCCAGAAGGTGTGGTTTTTGCTTCTCCCCACCAATGACAAAGGCAAATCAAACTCCACCAGGAAGCGAAAATCCCATGAGGGTGCTGGGCTCCTCCAGCCCTGCAGAGGGGACCCAAACCATTTTTCCAGCCTCCACCCCCAGCCCTCACTGCAGGACAGGCAGATGTAACCATCTCGCCACAAAACTCTCCTCCTCGGCTCAGCGCTCTGCTGAATGAACCATCGGACAGAAATCCACTGCTTTTCACTAACGGCACAGGAGCGAGTTCGGCTAGATTTACTGGCTGACTTTTACAAGTCTGCAGAAGAAGAGGGCTCTGGGAATACCAGGAGCACTCTGCCCCCAGGTTGTGAAGGAGTTAAGGAGAAGACATTACAGTTTAATGATTAACTTCCCCCATACCCTCCCCCTTCCTGACTTGAGCAAACAAGGCAGAGCCGAGGAACAGGAAGCGGAGGGAGGAGAAAAGGCTGGAGAGGAATCACTCGCTTGCTCAAGCTGCGCTTCAGCTGCACAAGTGACACCGAAGCAGCTGGACGAAGCCACCACCCCACCCGTGGGACAGGAGCAGGAGCAAGCCCGGAGCAGGACAGGCGCTCACACACTGGTTTACGGGTGGCAAAGGACCTCTCCTTGTGCCTGCTGGCCCCCATGTTCTCCAACCCAGGGTCTGCCCTTCCTCACGCCCCAGTCGCTGCCTCCAAGCTCACAGCCATAACGGAGGGAAGGTCTTCCCCATTTGCGTCCATCCCCCTTGCTTCCAGCCACACAAACCGTTCTCCGATCCAATCCCATCAGCAACCGCAGTGAAGTTTTGCTGGACTGGGAAGCTGATCCCCTTCAAAGGGTCCAGCAACGGCAGCAGAACTACCCCAAGAGCGGTGGTGGCACGGTGCCCGCTCAGCACGTCCCACCTCGTGGGGCTTCACCCTTCGAGAGGGAAGCGACTCCACAACCCACGGGAACGGGCTGCAAATCGCTCCCTTCGAGGTCCACCTCAGGAGTTTTGCAGCCCAGAGACCGACTGGAGGCAACTATTCAAAACCCAACCAAAGGGATTAACATTTTGTTTTCCATGCAGCACTTCACCCTAAGACGCCCCAAAGCACTGTGCATTCATTTAGGATTTGTGCAACTTTTTAACGCTACCAGAAGACAATGTGAGATAAGAGATGGGAGGAAAAGAAGGCAGATTTATTAATGGAAAAAAAGATGCATTGCTCTCTATCTTTCTTTCGCAAAAGGGACCAGACAGCTGTAACCTGATGAACTGTAACAAAGATGCTGTGCCTTCTGCGGGGCTGCACCTCATGTTCCAGGACTGAGTTTGCTACGGTGACCGCTCCTTAGAGTATCAAATACTGAAACAGAAATATTAAAGGTTCGATCGATGTATTGGGTAATGAAGTGTTCCTTCCCAATCAACCAGTTAGTCCCTCCCAGTTGACTGGATCATCCCAACGCACTGACGCAGACCGGTTCACACAACCACCAGCCATGAGAGGGCACCACTACATCCTTACATGCACAGAAAGACGAAACCCGACAGCAATGGCTAACTTGGCAGTACTTCACCTCACTTGTTCATCCCCGCAGAGTGGGGAACCTGTCCCTGTTTTAGGCACACAGAAACTTTCTGCCGGCACCGCGTGTGCCGCGCGGAGATGTGCATCTTCACACCAGCGCACGCTGCAGCACCTCGGGCTATCGCCCAGTACCCTGGAAACAACCACACACACTGACCTCACCGCAGTTTTACTGCTGCCCCAAATCCTCTCTAAAATACTACAGACACAGCTCTAGAAGGCAGAATCTCCCAAGGTTAAAAGATCAGAGATTCATTTATTTCTAGAGGATAGATTTAACCATTTTGTAGCAATAAAGTAAAACAGACAGGGTTATACTAGATCTTCAAGCTCCTCCACAGGATCACCCCTCCTTCCACTCTCACCCCTACAAGAAGCTGCTAAACACAACCCACAGACAAAATGTGAACTCACAGACACGTGGATGGAGTGGAATCATACAGCCCCGTTTCCAAAGACTCAGTAGGGCTCAGCCTACCCACAGGCATGGGCTGTGCGTATAGAAATTTGTATTTTCCACTCTATTAACAGCGTGCTGCTCAGTGGGGTGTAGAAGAGTGAGGGATACTTGCTAAAACACCACCAACCCAGACACTCCTTGCCGTCACACAGCTGACAACCCTAACTCACTCTGCGCCGTAGCAGAGTGCCTCTCAACGCGTGCATGCCCGGGGACTCGGCCAAGCACCCGGTAAGGCTGCAGGCAAACATGAGACAGAGGGGCAGGAGGCAGAGTCCTCCTCCCTCCACCGGGCAACCCAAAAATAACATGCTCAAGTGAAATCACGTTCAGGCCAGAGGGCTACTCAAAGCACATCCTCCCCGGTATGGGAGGGCGTTTGCGTTCGCATTTGTCATGGTTTAACCCCAGCCAGCACCTAAGCAGCACCCAGCCGCTCGCTCACTCCCCCCGGTGGGATGGGGGAGAGAACTGGAAGGGTAAAAGCGAGAAAACTTGTGCGTTAAGATAAAGACAGTTTAATAGGCAAAGCAAAAGCCACGCAGGCAAGCAAAGCAAAACAAGGAATTCATTTGCTGCTTCCCATCAGCAGGCAGGTGCTCAGCCATCCCCAGGAAAGCAGGGCTCCATCGCAGGTAACGGTGACTTGGGAAGACAAACGCCATCACTCCGACGTCCCCCCCTTCCTTCTTCCCCAGGCCCCCCCGGCCTGCTCACTGGTGGGGTGAGAAGCAGAAAAGGCCTCGACTCTGTGTAAGCACTGCTCAGCAGGAATGAAAACATTCCTGTGTTATCAACAGCTACTATGAAGAAGGGACAGTTAAAGAATGATGTCACATGTGATACCTTTACTGCTATAAAGCATTCCAAGACATCTGCAGGTCCAGGTGCCTCAGTTTGCTCCTCTCTCCCTTCTCTCCCTTTTGCCAAAAATCATTACTAACTACGAGGCCCCTGGGATTCTGGTCTTCAAATCCCAACACACAGCTCTGCATATACATTAGATAAGTATGAGTGGTCCTTAATACCAACTGCATTGCTTCAAGGTAGTTCCCAGCATCTGCCAAAGCTCTGCTAGTCATTTTGACAGCTTGGGACAAGAACTCCCTAGCTGATATCCAATGCACTGAACCGCTCAGAGAAAATCCCTTTTACCAAGAAAATCAGCAAGATGAAAGAGCAGGACAATACCTTAGGGTAAGTCCCATTTACCACTTCAAGCTGCACTGAAAAGAGGAATCATCTCCCCAGTTATACACTGCACATTCCTGCGCTATCTCCCGGGCCCACACCTCTGTCAGGCCGAGGAACAGCTCACGCATTCCAGGGGCTACGACGCAGCCTCCTTCACCATCACTGCGTGTCAGCACTCGCTGTCCTGCAAATGCAGTATCCTCCAGCAGAAACGGCCTCGTGTGCAGCCGCAGGGGCGCATTCTTCAGCTTCCCACATCCCAGGTTTGTCTGATAAAGAGCAGTAACGCCAGCCTAGGGATCACAAGGCAGATCTGAGGTACAGAACAGGAATGGATAACGCAGGGGCCCCCTGGCACTGATGCACACATCAACCCCCTTTTCTATAAATCTGAGCCTCACTTAGCCCCTTTAAATACATAAAGTTATTAAAAAGAAAAAAATGTATTTACATGTATCTTCCCACGCGTATCAAAACACACTCTTTGTTCACTCCCCTCTTCCCGTGCATCTCACAAATGCTCCTGGATTAAGGTTGCACAGCGAAGCAGAACATATCCTGAACTAGTTCTGGAAAAAACTACATTACAAGGCATCGACAAATTCACATTTGCCAGTTGGCATCAAGCAGCTTTTTAATGCTAATTTTTCCTCAAGCAGTAAATAGTTTTCCACTATTTGTAAGCAGTCTAGGATTTTTAAGTGAGGCAATTTAGAGAAATCTAAATCTGCTTTCCTCTCTTAAGGAGAAGCCTTCCACTACTGAGTGTCCAGCATAACTCCAGCCTGCGCGAGGGCTGCAGAGACACAGCATACTCAGTTAGCTCAAAGATGACAGCATTAGTGCCAGCAGAGAGAAAACTACCTCAGATTTCCATATGCAGTTCCTCTCTCTCAACAACTGAGGATGAGCTATTAAGCCGTGCTGACACAGCAAATCAGAGCATTATCAATACAGTAAGCAGATCAAAAGGATGGTGGTCGAATTTTCTTCTACATCTCATCTACTGCTGGGGAGGAAATAGAAGCATAACTGAGGCAAGATACTTCAAATGCCTCAGATATCAGCCTTTCATTTTCAACAGCTGAACGTCACATCTGCACATCCATCAAACCGCACATTGCCTGTAGCTCTGCTTCTTGCATGGGACATCTGGAAAGTGAGCGACACTGGAGACAGGATTCTTCATCCAGCCACCGCACAGAGCAACTGCCTTCAGCATCCAGCCACAGAGTCCCATCTCCCCCAGCATCTCTACTGCCACACGTCCCTGAGAGCGCAGACACAGCACGCTGGGGAATCAGGATGAGATGGCTGAGCACAAATGACAGTATTTCCACTAATGCAGCTGCAGAGAGCAGGTGTCCGCACCTCCCCTGTTCTTCCCCATGCCCGTTTACCCAAATAACTAGAACTGCTACAGGTCTTCCTGGCTTCGACAGCAGAAGGTTCCCAGAGGACTGGTAAATGGAAATGAAAAGATAGCCATAAGGGCAGGTCTAAACGAGGACACAGACTTTACATGATAATCGTGTCTCACTTGGCGTAAGACAAATTGCAGACCCCTCATTTGCAGAACGAGACACCATTCTCCAGCCCTTTTTTCTTAATACCTGTAAGATGCTGATTCAAATCCTTGATTTTTGCTGTCCCCTAAAAGAACGAGGGGAATTGCATCTCCAGAACTGAACCCTGAACCCGCAGACTTCGAGCAGCCTCTTTGCAAAATCCCTGAATCTAAATAAACTTTAGAAGTCTCGTTAGGTACAAATAAGTCTTCTCTCCCCCACCTCCAGGAGTAAATGCTACGCCAGCTCACATATAGGGAGACAGCTCGGGGCGGTAACCCAATCCCTGGCAAGACAGTTTTACATTGTGAGTAACTGCAGAGGAATGGGGAGCTTGGGTATATTTATCCTATTAAATAGCCTTTCAAAAGAAACATTTGCAACGCTCTAGAAGAGCTGCATCAAAAAGACTTGTTGGAGCTCCGCTATAGGGCTTCTCACAGCCCTTGAGTTTGAGTCCGGAAGGGGTGGGGAGCCCCAAAGAGCAAAACTGACGACAGGAATTCTCTTTTTAACAGCAGTTTTGACTTTTCTCAGCAAAAGGGAAGAGCATTATCAGAAATAGGAAAACCATGAACAAACAGGTGAATGCAGGCATTGACTTCCAGGTAAAAGAAATGTAATAAGAGGTTCTTAAGGCATTATAGCCTAATCAATGTTTGTAAATGCAAAAAGATCACAGACTACAAAAGCAATAAAATACAAAGACTACATTCAAAATGAGACCTTAAAAATTCAAAGTGCAATCAGATGCTCTTAAAATTCTGATGTTCTCTGGTTCATGTATACAGAAAGCAGGTAAAATAGCTTGGCTTACTTTCTAAAACATTTTGAGAAGGAGACATTCAAAAGTTTTCCAAAATTTAACCCATATGATGAGAAGGTGATTCGAATACAGGACACCTAACAGCCCTCAGCTCTCTTGTGAAGCAGGGACAGATTGTTATTTAAGATACAGAAAAATTCAAGGCACAAAAGATAAGTCATTTGCCAGACCTAACAACTGCTGAATTACCAGTACAGAGCAGCCACTGGTATTTTTACTTCACATTGTCTAGACCTGCCTAGAGAAAGTTCAGGTGACACGGTCAAAAAAAAAAAAAAAAAAAAAATCACTCAGCTCTTTTTTTAATGTATTCCAGTGACTGATGTTTATTCAAAGCCTTGCGCTTTCTCATTATCAAGGTATTGGTGCAATCATGCCTTGTGTCACTGCTTAGTAAGAAGAACGTCCAGACTAGTATCAGTACATGGTATGGTGACCTCCGATAGAAGACAATATGCATGAAAATCCTTGAAGCTTCTCTGTTCTCTGAAACCAATACTGCCCCTTAGAATAAGCCAGACTATGCATTTGTGGCACTGATTTACAAAGTTGTGTGGGTGCTTCAGAAAAGCTTAACAGCAAAGGCAACCATCAAGTAGTCGTTATGCCTAGCTACACCAGGCTGCAGAGACAAACTAAACAAGAATTCATCCCACGACAGACAGAACTGCTTTCAAAATCACGTGATGGCAGCCACCGCGAATCCCATCTATGCCATAACTCGAATACGGACAGCCAAACCAGTTCGTTTTCCCCCGTACAGCAGCCCATGCACCCAGCTCTGACCACTATCAGCAAATGTCTAAACAAAGGCAAGACACTGCACTGTGAGTTGTGGTCGAATACCATCAGCTGCAGCAATGATTGTGGCTTCCTGTCCCAACCACCGAGACCCAAGCTAGAGACTTTATTCCAGAGCTTGTGGCCCACTAACTGGTCACAACTAACAGGCACTACTACCACCCCAAGCACAGGGTGGTAAAAGGGTGTGCAAACAGCCTGTTTAAAGCTATTTCAGTAACTGTTTGTCAGTAACTACTCATTGCGGATTGGGGGATGAAACGCAAACCCTTCGAGCGCTCCGGCTGTAGTTTCAGCAGAGCTGACACCACCGCATGCCGCCAGCGTAAGGGAAGGGCCCAGCGATCCCCGCTTCCCCCAGCACGCAGCCCCGCGCTGCTCCTGGAACTCACCCTGCTGATCAGATGCTTTCTGAACTAATTCTTACTAAGCCAGTAAAAGTTTGACGTGTTGTTGGTTTGGTTTCTTATGACAAACTTGTAACATTTCTTGGAAACATAGCTCCAGCCACTCCATGGATTAAGCAGCTTTTAGAAAATGTTTTAAAGAGACTAACGCCAAAATTTAGCCCTTGTCTAAGTGAATAAAGTTTCTGCTTTAAATAGGAAATACTGTACTTTCACCTCCACAATTCAGGCCAGGACACAAACTGTAAAATCCAGCTCCATCCAGCCATTAGTTGAAAGAAATCACGCATCCTCCTGTCTGATTCCCGTAATTCATCTGCATCTCAGGTACAGACCAGAAAAACTGCAGCCTGAAAAGGGAGCAATCAGCAGACGGCACAAACTGAAATGCTCCTAAATTCTGGAGCCACCCCTCACCACTACCAGCCACGTCCATCTGAGCCTACACTGACATTTCGTTTTGGCTTTGCAGCCCCCGAATGGCGATATGGCTCAATCGGTAGGACGGCACACATTATGTACCTTACTGGTGGTATCTCCTTTGTGCCACTGAGCTTAAGAGTCAGCTTTTGACAGAGACTACTCCTGACCATAAAACTTTAAAGATGAGCCAACTCTATACGGTACAAAAACCCAACAGAAGCCACCATGGGAGCTCAGACCTTCCACCGGACCCCGCTGAGGGGCGAGAGGGCTGTTTGTACCTCTGCTTCAAAACCATAAAGGTCACTGCAAGAGCCTTCCCGCGACTGGCCACACCGCTTCCTTTCAAATTAGCACAAGCATTTCACTGAAACTCAGACCTACCCTGTAACCTCAGCAATGGGTATTTGTCAGCACGGGGAGGGTGCTGGAGTGCCAGCATCACGAGGGGTCAGCTAGTTCCCGTGTAACCCCGCAGCAAGGCTGTCAAGGGCACAGAGAGAGGCCCTCCGTAGGAAACCAGCTGACCAGTTTGCAGCTTGACACCAGCAGTCCCTGGGAATCACAGCCCCGTTCCTTGAAGGAGCATCTCAGATCCACCTCTTGTTATTTTTGATGCACCAGGCTGGGAAATCACCAATTTCACATCACCGAGTGGGCAGGAAGGTAACCTAATCTTCACTAGACCCACAGGGCATGGGATCATCGGTGCAGCGTGCAGGCTGAGAGACACTGCAACCGCCTCGAAGATCTGAGTCAGCACAGTTTCCTGGATGAAACAACACAAATCCACAGCGCGCTCTGGCCTACAGGCCAAGCTGTGTGAAGGAACCACAAAAGATTTTCCTGTAGGACCAGATTTTTTCCACTTAGCTCTTGAACACTAAATTAGACCCCAGCTCAAACTGGCTGAGAGAAATCAACCACCACCTACAAAAGGAGAAATGCATAATCATTCTGCCTTCCTCCAACTTCCTTAGAAGAACTTTCATCCCCTTTCCACTACCTCAGAACTGTTATCTCAGCCATCTCATGAACTGAAGTCACGTCTCACAGGGCACGTAACTGCTTACGTGGTCAGAGAGAAGGATTCCTCAGTGTGTTATAGGTTTGCTGAGCATCCTCACACTGGAAGTGATTTGTGATTTAAGTACCATCTCCTTGCAGAAGGCACGTACCTGATGCTCCAGAAAAAACAATAAGGTTACCAGACCAATTTCCAAAGAAAATATAGTTTGAATATGTTGGGTTTTTTTTTTGGTTTTGGCCAAAAAGCTGCTAAACCAAGTATAGCCTTTCCAAGTTCTACAAATTGACCTAAGCTGGTCACTCCACTGGCTATCGCATTCGGAAGCTGTCAGCAGAAACACCAGGAAGAACAAACTCTTCCTGGCGTTGAAGATCTAAGGACAGCACAGAGCAAAGCAAGGCCATACAAATCCAGCTTAAGCTGGCTATTGTATTCTTCACGCGCTGCCTCCAAGAGGAGCACTTGAACTAGCAGCATGTGACATCTCTGGTTTCAGAGCCTGCTCCCTCCCAAAGGTGTGTCCTCCCGTTTATATCTCATTTCCAGAAAGTGCTGGGGAGGGGGGAGGGAAGGGTTATTTCCTGCCGTATACAGCATCCTCTTTTTTTATAGCATGGCTTTCTCCACACTTGAAGTGAAAAGAGACATCTTATATTTACTTCCCTCTGTTTATAGCCCTGAGTGGCAAACAGCTCATGCCAGGAAAAAACACCCTATGCTAAGACCTGGTGCCTTAAACTGAGTTCATGTTCAACTCACGCTAAACAAATAAATGTTTTCAGTTTCACAGCTACCAAAGGCTTCTGAGAATGCCAGATCCCAGCTACACAAGCCTTGAATGCCTCCGTACAGCGATTCACAAACGACCCCCAGTTTTGTGAAGCTAAAAGAGAAAATAATCCCTTGCATGGTTCCTTTCTGTCTAGATTGACTGTACTCTCAAACTGAGCCTGGAACAACAGGGAACAACTACCGAAGGTGGACAAGCTTAGTCAAAAAACTCTTCCACTGCTCTACGAACACTCTTCAGGAGGGTCAGGAGAAGTTTGTAAAGGGTTTGCAAGTGCAGTTAGCTCCAGCACGTCCTGTGACACAGCGCATGCAAAAGCAGTAGGCAGAGCTAATCTCATCGCTTGTACAACGTTTAAGAGCACAAAGCCAAGTTCTGGTTTACTGAACAGAGAAGTTGGAAATTGCACAAGAAAAGTTTGTGCTATGTAAAATGCTTCACCCAGCCTTAACCAGCCTTTACTGAGTACTCCAACTCATGACCTCCAGTGATTCAGACCACCATGATTTAAGTACTACTGTCCCCAGATGGCTGTCCCACCCACA